ACAATGCGGGGATTGCAACCAATGCCATGAAAAAATTTGTATATAAATTTTTGAATGAGAAACTAATTTGTAAACTTTCACCTGAAGCACAATAAATCTATGTATATCAAAGAAAAAAAGATGTTCAGTAAGATATACTATTGAAGTATTTACAGAAAGCATGTAATAAAGAAAAAAATAATTGTCTAGAAAATAATTATTCTAGCTAGTTCATTTGTTTGTAAGGAACGGAAGTTTCCCTCTCCCCTCTCAAGCAGCCTGAGTAAAAAGGGGCAACACAGAATCTGACAGAGACAAATGCAGAAAAAATGACAGAATGTCTCATGGAAACTGGAAAGTCATCAGACACTGTTCTCTCCTCTGTCTCTGGATCTACGGCTTCCTGTCTCTTTCTGCTTCCTTCTCCAGCTTGCTCGTCAGTTTGCCCATTAGGACTTTCCGTACTGACTCTGAATGACTTTCAATTCAAGAACTACAATATTACTAAACAGTTTCTGGGTCTCAGATTGGACCAGCTCAGTCTTTGGATTGATCCTCCGGGTCAGATGGGCATCTCTGGTTCAATCACTTGTTACCAGGGTCTTTCATATAATAAATATTTTAGAGACTGTGGGTCAAGTGGAGAGGGCGAGTTGGGCATGGCAGGCCAATTGATCAACAGAGCTGCTAAAATGACTAGGAGGAGAGACTCAGTTTCAGCTGAGGCTTCTATTATTTGCACAGTAGATGCTGTGCTTTCCTCAACATGTTAAAACACTGAGAAACCAGTTCTGTTAGTCTTAAGCTATCACTCACCTTCAGATTACATGCATACGTAAACATTGTACTGAAGCTGAAGGCACGGGTGGTGACGTCTGGGTGAGCTGTTGGCAGTGTTGCTGCGTACTGTGTGTTCCCTCCGCCCATCCCCATGTGCCAAAGGACCTGGGAGAGGAGTTCTCACCCGTATCCTCAAGTGAGGTGGTTTTCAAGAGAATCACTTGGAGAGCTTGCCTTGTGTCCCCTGGAATTGCGGGAACATAGGGACTGGCGTATCACTCACTGAAAAGTCTAAGAGTGAAAAGGCTGCAGCTAAATCAGTCAAAGATGGCAGAGCAGGGGGATGAAGGGAAGAAGGGAAGGACTGAAGGAGATAGAAATGCTATCCAGGAGTGAGCCACACTTTCACTGCGGTAGAGGTGGGGTCAGACCTGGAAAGCGGAATCCTGCAGGAGGGAGCTGACCTGTCATCAATGGGACCTTGTCCAAGAGGTGTGTCAGAAAGAGCAATGCCCTCTCAACAGTGGATGTCTAACCAGCTACATACTTTCCCTCATCAAGGCTTCCAAGACTGAAGCAGGTATGAGCTGGGCGAAGGGAGAAGCTTTTAATGGATACGTGTTGGCATTTTGTTATAATACTGTATTGGACTGGAGGCATGTGATTATTACTCTGGACTAGACTTTTTACTACTTACGAATTACCTAAAAAGGTATGAGAACTGCCCAAGATTTCATCCAACGTATGGGAAAGAGTGAAGTCTGCAGACCTGGCTTGAATTGAGAATGGGGGAGGAAAGGCTTCATCCTGCACCCTACGAAGTCCAACTTGTTCTTTAAACTAGCTATATACACAAAAGTATGTACCCAAAGGAAGCTGCAGATTCCAGGTGCTGATTAATTGAAGGGTCTAGCAGACTGAAAACAGAACTTGGAGTTAAAGATTTGTTAGTTTTTCAACTTCTGTTTTTCCCTTAAGATAAAACTGTGCTTCATGTGGGATTCAAGGCCCAAAAGAAAGCTTTCTAGAAGCTCCAATGAAGATCTTTTAGGAAGGGGATTTATGAATCAAGAAAGAATGACAGACGGGCAGGAGGGAAAGGGAAAGGGGGAGTCATTGCTTAGAGGACACTGAGCTTCTGTTAAGGCTGATGGGAAAACGTGGAAATAATAATGGTGATGGCTGAACAACATGATGAACATAATTATACCTATGAAGAATGCTGCAATGGCAAATATTTTGTTACAGACACATTTACCACAATAAAAAAAAAATTTTTTAAAGAAAGAGACTGACCGGGCGATGAGGGAAACAGGGAGATGAAGGCTTCCAATTCCACTTCTATAAAAGCTAAACAAGGTTTCAAAATTTGTGACAGACTAGATAACAGAAAAGTTAGCTGAATATTTTCAAGTACTTTGAGATCCTCAGGTAAAACGCAACACCTACAGCCTCGATTTAGCTTAAAAATCAAAACTCCTTGCTGTTGAGTCCATTCCGACTCATAGCGACCCTAAAGGACAGAGTAGAACTGCCTTATAGGGTTTCCAAGGAGCCTCTGGTTTCCAGTTTAGGAAACCCTGCTGGTGTAGCAGTTAAGCGTTGCGGCTGCTAACCAAAAGGTCAGCAGTTAGAATCCACCAGGTGCTCCTTGGAAACTCTATGGGGCAGTTCTGCTCTGTCCTATAAGGTCCCTATGAGTCGGCGTCGACTCGACAGCAGTGGGTTAAACTAAATGACAGGAGCCCTGGTGGTGCAGTGGTTAAGTGCTCAGCTGCTAACCAAATGGTCAGCTGTTCCAAACCACCAGTTGCTCAGCAGGAGAAAGACCTGGCGATCTGCTTCCATAAGGATTAAAAAAAGACTGTTGACAGTCAATCCCCACTCATAGAGACCCTATAGGACAGAGCAGAACTGCCCCATAGGTTTTCCAAGGAGCGGCTGGTGGATTCGAACTGCCAACTTTTGGACTAGCGGCAAGCTCTTAATAACTGCGCCATCAGGGCTCCTCCATAAGGATTACGGCCTTGGAAAGTTCTACTCTGCCCTGTAGGGTCACTATGAGTCAGAAACTCCACGGCAATGGGTTAATCTAAATGGAGACAAGCATGGCCTTCAATGATGGTAAGTATGAGCCCAGCTTCACCTTTATCTTTAGCACAAGAGCCAGGAAGCTGGAGAGAGAGGTTAGTATTCCCAGGACTGTCCCGCCCAGATTCCACTGAGCTTCCGTAGTTTCTGTTGTAACCACGGATTCTTAGCCAGTCTCAGCTGTGCTACTTCATTTAGTAAACACTTCTCATCTCCCTGGCTAACTGTCAAGTTGATTCATTCAACTTCTTTTTTCGGAGGGCTGGGGGGTAGGTAGCCTTCTCTGTGTCAGGCACTCTTGTATAAGCTCCTCATGGAGCTTATATCTGAGCGTTTGTGTGGCAGTTCAGGCAATAAATAATACATTTGTTAAAATATATCCCATTTTAAAAAAAAACCATTGCCGTTGAGTCGATTCCAACTCATAGCGACCCTATAGGACAGAGTAGAACTGCCCCGAAGGGTTTGCAAGGAGCAGCTGGTGGATTAGAACTGCCGACCTTTTTTCAGTAGCAGCCACACGCAGACGGTGGCAAATGTTATCTTAACAACAACAAAAATAAAAAGGCAGGGAAAAGGATTAGAGATTGCTGAGGTGGAATTTGAAGCAGGGAGTCTGGGAAGGCCTCCTTAAGAAGGTGTCATTTTGAAAGAGGTGAGGGAGCATGCCTTATCTAGGGAAGCACTACAGACCAAGGGGCCAGCCAGCCAAGTCTTGAGGTAGAAGCATCCTGGCATATTCAAGTAACAGCAAGGAGTCACTGGGGCTGGAGCAGAGCGAGCAGGAGGGAGAGAAGTTGGAAGACGGTAGAGAGGGAAGGAAGGCTAGCTAACTTTGGGCCTGGCAGGTTACTGTGTGGACTTAGACTTTTACTCTGAAGGAGATGGGGAGCCATTCAAGGTCTAAGAGGTCTGACCTGACCTGATGGGTTTTAACAGGACCCTTCTGGTTGCTGGTTGAGAATCGATGGTAGGGATGGAATGCGGAAGCTCATCAACCAGCTGGGAGGCAACAGAGCTCAGCTGCTAACCAAAAGGTTGGCAGTTCAAATCCACTAGCCGCTCCTTGGAAACCCTGTGGGGCAGTTCTACTCCATCCTATAGCGTCACTATGAGTTGGAACCGACTCCACGGCAACAAGTTTCAGAAAAGGGCAGAGGTGAAGAGGCAAGGACATGAGTCAGAGTAGTAGCAGAGATGAGGATGGAAGAAGTAACCCAATTCTGATAATGACCTTAATGCCACAGGAAGAGGTGTGGTGTCACGCTTTTACTTGACATGGGGAAAACAGAAAGGCAAATGCAAAAACCAATATACATTCAACAATTAACCTATCAAGGGGAATCTATTTCAGTACTATTCTATTTTATTTTAGTACTGTTTTAAATCAGAAAAATCTATAGGTGCTTTTCAAGTACAAAAACTTTCAAGTACAGACATTCTGAGAAACCAGAACCTTGAAGCCATTGAAAGCTCCGATCAAATCCTCTGAAATTGCTTATGTATTTTGACAAGATAGCTTACTGAGCTACTCAAGGAGAAAATGCCCTCGAATGAAAAAACAGAGATGAGATTTAAAAAAAATAGACCAAAGGAGGTACAAACAGAAAATAGCTGAAAAATACAATGGCCCAATTTACCAGATTATCATTTGGCATTTCCAATAAAGATCTCACAGCAAAGCGCGTTGCTAAATGACACAGCCCATTTTTCCATGAGGAAACTGCAGTCAGCTGAAATAGAAAGAGACTGGAAAAGGAAAACACAGTATTAAATGTGTGTGACTTTAAAGGAGATTAAGAACAGCATACCAGAGTTATCTTCCACTTATTATTATAAGAAAGGGAGACAGACAGACAGAGGGGGTTGCGAGGGAGGGAAGGAGGGTCCAAGCAGAGAGAGACGGTGAACTAGAAAAAGATGTTCTGTATTCATGAAGGAAAGTACAATGTAAATCTGACGACGGGGAAGCAGGAGACACTTTTCAAATGTCATCAGACGGTGCCAGAGAATAATATCCTCACTGCCAGGGAACAGCATGGGAGAGAATGTTTTATTCAAGAATATCTAAAGAAATAGAAATTACATTTAAATGGGACAGGTGTCAGCAACATGAAAAATTTTTAATGAAAAATAAAAAAGGAGCTTCTAGGAATAAAAGTGTTATACTATATGTATTCTCATAACAAGTGACTGCTTGGGAATTTAATAGCTTGATTTCCAATGCTAAAAGCAGATGATGAGCCAAGCCACAAGATTCAACAATTTATTGCTACTTTTCACTCGACTTTGTCACCAACTATCCCTGACTATTAGCAACGTGGCGTGTCAGGAACTTATTCCATCCTTTCTCTCCAGCTACCATCGTCCGTGATCACCTCCATATCCCCGTTCATGACTTTTGGACAGCCTGGCCTCACATTTTCTCAGCCTTGTTGACCTCTTGCCACCCACAGTCCTTGAATATGGAATCTGCTCAATCCACAAGATCTTAAATTTAAATGCCCATCCCTGGCCATAATCTCGTCACTTCTTCCATTCTACCGAACCTGGTATGTGTCCTCAGGATACCTGGATTCCTTCCACCCTCGACCAGTGTAACGTAGTGGTTAAGGCTGGAGATTTTAGAGTCAAGCTTCCCGGGTTTAAGTCCTGACCCTGCCCTTCACTAGCTGAGTGGCCAGGGGCAAGTTACTTAATCTCCTTATGTCCTAATTTCCTCATGGGCTTCCTGTGAAGGTTACATGAGATAACCCACATAAACCCGGCACGTAGGAAGTACACAGTGAGTGTCAGCTGTTAGTATCATATTCTGTTTACTTTCGGTCGTAACCCAGTTGGCTTCCCTTGTCCTCTATGTAGCCTGGTTGCTAGCATCATCCTGACTTGCTCCCACTCCGTTTGGTCTAGTTCCTTCCATTGCTCACTTTTTTAATCCCAGCTTCTGCTTGTTTCCAATCTGGTGACATCCTGGACCCTAACGCTAGATGGTTAGGGATGCTAGGGGGATTTTTACGTGAACAATTCAGTGGATTTTAGTATATTCACAGTTGTGCATTCATCACCATGATCAATTTTAGACCATCTTCATCACTGCACAGAGAAACGCTGTACCCTTTAGCTACCACCCCCCATCTCCTCACCACCCCCAAACCTAGGCAGCCACTAATCTACGTTGTCTATAGAGTTGCCTATTTTAGACACTGCATATAAATGGAAGCACGTAATATGTGGCCTTTTGTGGCTGCTTCTTTCACTCAGCACAGTCTTCTCAAGGTTCATCCATGTTGTAGCGTGTATCAGGACTTCATTCCTTTTCGTGGCTGAATAACTCACTGCAGGGAAATACCATGTTTTATTTACCATTTTCCAGTTGATGGACATTTGGGTTATGTTTGCCTTTTGGTTATTATGAATAATGCTGCTATGAAACATCTGTGTTCAGGAGTTTTTTTAAATTAATCCCTCCTTGACTTTTTCTTCCTTTCCCTACACTAGCTATTCCAAGCCACATATACTTTCCTCATGTCCCTAAACCCTCTCCTGCTTGAAGTGTTTTTATGACATGAGGTTATCTCCTACCTCACTGAGGAGAAACAGCCGCCCCCCCTCCCCTGCCCTTAGCAAAGAATGTGTCTGCACTCATGGTATTTCCTCCCAAGTGGATGGAACCCAAGGAACGTGGCTCCAGGCCTCTCTATCCCTATGCTCACTCTACCTTAGGGTGGGCGAATGATCCACTGATTGGCAAATCTGTGTAGAATAAACCAGCAGGCACTAATCAGCCTCAGGCTACTCAGCAGCCGGTCAGCCAGAGTCTAGCCTTTCAGTTGTTCTCTTCCTGGCCATAAGTGGCACAGGAGTCCAGCTCTGCCCCTGAAGGGTGTGGTGAAACCTGCCGTTTTGGAAGGGAGTATAATTCTGAAGTCTGAAGACCTCCAACTGGATGGATGTTGAAGAACACTGAAAAATAAAAAGCAAAATTTGGAATCTAGAGGAGCTATATATATTTAAAAGAAGGCCTCGTGGTGCAGTGGTTAAGTGTTGGGCTGCTAACTGAAAGGTTAGTGTTTTGAACCCACCAGCTGCTCTGCAGGAGAAAGATTTGGCAGTCTGCTTCTGTAAACATTTACAGCCTTGGAAACCCTACAGGGCAGTTTTACTCTGTTTTATGGGGCTACTCATAGGGTTGCTGTGAGTCAGAATTGACTGGATGGTAATGGGTTTGGGTTTTTGTGGGGTTTTTTTTTGATGGTTCAATGGCAGAATGCTTGCCTTCCACATGGGAGATCTAGTTCAAACCCTGGCCAATAAACCTCATGTACAGCCACAACCCATCTGTCAGTGAGGCCTGTGTGTTGCTATGATGCTGAACAGGTTTCAGTGAAGCTTCCAGACTAAGACGGACTAGGAAAAAAGACTTGGCAGTCTACTTCCAAGAATCAGCCAATGAAAACCCTGTAGATCACAACCGTGTGATCCTCAGTGGGTCATGGGGATGGCGTAGAACCAGGCAGCGTTTAGTTCTGTTGTGCACGGGGGCATGAGCACTGAGACCAATTGGACAGCCCCTAACAACAACAACACATAAATTCAGAAGTGTGTGCAGACAGAATGTTTGGACCTTGGCAAGTGGTATAAGCTTTTAATATCCGCAGTCTGGAGAAGCAGCTTTAAGCCTTCAAGTGCAGGGTATTCTGATATTAGGGAAGGACTGTAGTTTATGGTGAGTGGATATTTTTACAGAGGCAGGCTTCAGCAACGGCTCATGGGGCCCCAGGACCCTCAGCGTCAACACAAGACCTGTAAGTGGTCTCTGCAGCCTCTGGAAAGTGAGGCAAAAAGCAAACACTGTGCTCTTGCAAAGGCAAGTGGTCTTCGAGGGCAGGTGCTACAGGGGGCCGCGCAGGTGTAGCTTGGTGTGATATACACGCTAGATGCTGGCAGGATGAGATCCTTTAGGTATCTGTTGCTTTAAGCCAAGTTCTGAACGCTCTTCAGGGAACCAAAGACCTTCTGACTTTCAGTTGTTACTGGTATTCAGGGCAAAGGACAAAAACTTAAGTCACTAACCTTGAATGCACTTGGCTTGTCCACAGACTCAGGCGTAGAAAATACTTGGAGCATTCCTGACAGCTTGGTGGCTGTAGACGGGCATGCTGGAATTTCCTGTGCCCTGTGGGAACATGTCTGAGAAACCTGGGACATTAAAAAGCAGCAGAAACTGTCTCAAGGAACACCTGGCAAAGGTGCTGGTCCCCACTAACGCTTTGAGTCCTGGGGGTACAAGCTTTAGGAACCGGCACAGCAGCTTTGGAATTTGCTGGGGACGATTTCCCAGCTGAAACAAAAGTGAGGACATGATGAGAACCCCGTGCTAGAAGGAAGGCTTCCTTGGCATAACAGAGGGTATTTTTTTTAAAAAGATACAGATTCTTGGGTCTCACGCCAGATCTACTGAATCACTTCTCCAGGATTGGATATAGGAATCAGTATTTTTAACAAGCACTCAGGTGAATTTTTTGATCAGGTAAGTTTGTGAAACAATGGTTTAAGCTATTCTACAGCTGGAAGCAGTCACCAAATCCATTGCTGTCGAGTCAAGTCCAACTCATAGCAACCCTATAGGACAGAGCAGAATGGCCCCATGGGGTTTCCAAGGCTGTAAATCTTTACGGAAGCAGACTGCCACATCTTTTTCCCGCTGAGCAGCTGGTGGGTTCCAATCACCAACCTCTCAGTTAGCAGCCGAGCACTTCACCACTGCACCACCAGGGCTCCTTGGAAGCAGTCACAGCGGCCCAAACTTGTCAGACTAAGATTGTCTGCTCGCAGACATCTGTTGGTGTTGTCAGGTGCCATCGAGTCTTGCGGCTCACAGCGACCAGAGCAAAATTGCTCCATAGGCTTTTGTCTTAGTCATCAAGCGCTCCTATAATAAAACACCACAAGTGGGTGGCTTTAACCAACGAAATTCATTTTCTCATAGTTTAGGAGGCTAGCAGTCCAAATTTAGGGCGCCGGCTCTAGGGGAAGGCTTTCTCTCTCCATTGGCTCAGGAGCAAAGTTCTTGTCTCTTCTGAGCTTCTGCTCCTGGGCCATCTTTACGTGCTTGGCATCTCTCTTCCCCCATCTCTCCTTGCTAGCTCGTGTTTAATGTCTTTTATATCTCAAGAGACTGACTTAAGATACACACTCATCCTGCCTCATTAACATAACAAAGACACCCGTTCTCAAATGAGATTATAACCACAGGCATAGAGGTTAGGATTTACAACCCATATTTTTGGAGGACGCAATTCAACCCACAACAGGTAATCTTTACCATAGAAGATTGCCAGGTCTTTTCTCCCGCAGAGCCACTGGGTGGGTTCGTACCTCCGACCTTTCTGTTAGCAGCTGAGTGCTTAACCATTGCACCACCAAGGATCCTTCACAAGTTATTATACAAGCGGTATTAGCAGACAGAGCTCACTCGAAATGTAGCACTAAAGGGCTGAGAGCTTAGAACTCAAAGGGATTGTCCTTTCACGCCCCCTGAAGTTAGAAGGCCACATGGCATGTTTTGGAATGTGAGCGGAAGTGATGTGGGTAGACGAGTGCTACTCTGGCCAGAAATTTTAAGAGTCAGGGCGCAAATTGTCACATTCCCTTGTCCCTGCTGCGGTGATCACAGGAAAACCTGGCAGGATTCCATCATTCTGGTTCCTTAAATGAGTACAGTGTGGAGCATTCTGCAGGGGATGCAGAGTATGAGTGAGAAATAAAACTGCTGTTGTTTCAAAGACTAAGATTTTGAGGTTCTTTGTCACTGCAGCATAACTCAGCCTATCCTGACTGATACAGTCTTCAAACACTACAAATTTCTAAGCTTCACAAGAAGACAGTATCTCATATGTCACTGAGAGAGGAGGTAATATGAATAGGTAAAAAATTTCTCCTAGGAATAAGAAATTCAAAGTGCACAAATTAACTACCTTAATTAAAATCTCCTAATTAAGTTTATGTTCATAGGTCATAGATTCCAGAACCTTATGCCCGATCAACCATGTTGGTAAAGCTAAAACTCAGACCCTCCCCTAACCCTGACTCCATGGTCTCTGCCCTGTTACTTGACATCACCAACTGCTGAGCTTTAGGAATATAATTTTGTCTGGGATAACTACACTAAACCAAAAACCCGCTGCCATCTAGTCAATTCTGACTCATAGCAACCCTACAGGACAGACTAGAATTGCCTTATAGGGTTTCCAAGGCTGTAATCTTTATGGAAGCAGGCTGACATCTTTCTCCTTCGGAGCAGCTGGTGGGTTCAAACCATCCACCTTTCAGTTAGCAGCCAAGTGCTTTAAAGCACTGTCTCATCAGGCCTCATAACTACACTAGAGGCTGAGAAATAGCTTTTTTTCTACATTTTATGGGTATGGGGACAGTGTTGTAGTGATTTTGTGTCTTATTAGCTTTTTGGTCTCTCAAGCTCAATGAGAGACTTATATTAAATGAAACAATTTCTGTCCAGGCTTTAACTGCTTAAAAAAATCCCAACCCTAACCAAACTTCAAGAACCCGTCTAATTAAGACTAAGCCAAATACGAAGTGGAGAGGATGAATTCTGGATGTTAATTTCTTTGACGTTTAAATCTGAAGGGAAAGAGAATTTGACTTTGACATTAAGTCCTTTAAACTTTAATTTACAAAGAGTTTTAATCTTTGGACTTTAATTTTCCCTAGAAATCTGATAATAGGAGAGAGTTTATGGTCAAATTTGAAGTGTCTGTGTTGACTGCATTTTATTATTAAAATATCTTAATTAATGGTGCAATGTAGTCAAGCCCTCTGATATGTGAGACTGGACAATGTTACTGAATATAATTACTATGGGAAATAGACTAGGGGATGAATTTTCAGATATGGAATTTCTTTAGTTAACATGCTATCTGCAGTGGTTGCAAAACATGGCCCCTGGAGCTTATGTCTGGTCCTAGCAGCTCCACCACCTGCACAGGGCTTGGTCCTGGAAGGGAGTTTACGTTGGTCTGGAGAGTGCATTGGGCCTTGACCAATCTAGTATCATCCAGTCTTCCCACAGTCCTTTTGTGTTCATCTGCAAAATAGAACTCACAAAGCTTCTTCCCAGTTTTGACTGCTACCTCTAGCTGGGTCCTCTAAACTTTCCACACCATGTGGGGCTCCTTCCTTTGGGGGCATCTTTGGGTAATTTGGGGATTCTCTGGCTATCATAACTTCTCCTCATCTGCGTATATTTGGGGGTTCATACCTTGCCACCTTGTTGTTGATGTTCGTGGGTTTTAGGTTTTGCCATTCAAGTTGCTCTGTTTTTGTGGGAAGATCCAGTGATATCTAAAAACTATGCCACTTACAACTCCCCCAAATTAGAGCAGAGATAATTACATTTACTCATCAAATCCTTTTTCTATTCCTACTACACTTCCCTGTCTCCCTCAATTGAGCATAGCTGTGCAACCAGTTCTGGCTAGTGAAATATGAGCGGAAGTAACGGGTACAGTGAAGCCTGTGAGAGCAGGAACACAATGGGACTGCCTTAGTTTTCTGGGTCTCGCAAGTTTTCCGCCTTTGACAAGGTGCGGTCACCACTTTTCTATCGCTGTCTATTTAGACAGGTTTCCACCTTCCACAAGTTCCAGCTTTCGCAGGTTTTACTGCATCACTTCTGAGCAGTGACAGTGGGCTCACTGCATTATTTTCCAGTCTCTCTCTCTTACCCTTTGACCATGAGCATAGAGCCCTAGGAGCCCTGGTGGCGCAATGGTCAAGAACTTGGCTGCTAACCAAAAGGTTGGCAGTTCAAATCCACCAGCCACTCCTTAGAAACCCTACAGGGCAGTTCTACTCTGTCCTATACAGTTGCTGTGAGTTGGAATTGACTCAACAGCAGTGGGTTTGGTTTTTTGGGTTGGGTGTAGTTCCCCAAGGCTGAAGCAGCCTGGATGAACAGATCTCTGCCTGGAGGATGGCGATCTACAGCAGAGTTTGCATTAGCAAAGCAATGTTTATGTTTTAAGTCACTCTTACTTTGGGATTGCTACCAGAGCACAAACCCAGACTATGCAGACACTTCCCACCTACTTCCTCTATTAGCCCCTTTTCACCTCTTTGTAAATATGTTCAAGTATTTCCTGTCCAAAAAAAGCCTTCCCCTGATCCTACTGTTCCTCAAATTACCATATCATCTCCTTCTCCATTCACAGATACAATTTTGGAAGGAAGCGTCTATATTTGCTACCTCCACTTCCTCACCACCCACTCATTCTTTAATTCCTGGGGATATGGCTTCTGCTTTTCTCATTCTTCAGAAACTTTTCTTAAAGATTACCAGTAACCTCTTCCTTGCTAAAACAGGCTCAGTTCTGCTCAACGTCACTTCTGCCAAGGCCTTGAATGCTGGTCAAATGGTTTTAAATCTTTTTATGATAACAGACTCCTTTAAAAATCAGATACAGGCTATGGATCCAATCCCAAAAAAAAAGTAAATGTTTATACATAAATTTTTCCTAAGCTTCTGTCATGGATTGAATCGTGTCCCCCAAAAATATGTGTCAACTTGGTTAGGCCATGATTCCCAGTATTGTGTAGTTGTCCTTCATTTTGTGATTGTAATTTTCCTATGCATTGTAAATCCAAATCTCTGCCTGAGGTTAATGAAGCAAGATTACATTATGTTAAAGAGGATTAGGGTGGGATTGTAACATCCTTACAAAGGCACATCTCTGATCCAATGTAAAGGGAGTTTTCCCTGGGGTGTGACCTGTACCACCTCTTATCTTACAAGAGATAAATGGAAAGGGAAGCAAGCAGAGAGTTGGGGACCTCATACCACCAAGAAAGCAGTGCCGGGAGCAGACTGTGTCCTTTGAACCAGGGGTCCCTGTGCTGAGAAGCTCCTAGACCAGGGGACGATAGATGACTAGGACCTTCCTTCAGAGCCAACAGAGAAATACTTCCCCTGAAGCTGATGCCCTAAATTCGGACTTCTAGCCTACCGGACTGAGAAAATAAATTTCTCTTTGTTAAAGCCATCCACTTGTGGTATTTCTGTTACAGCAGCATTAGATGACTAAGACAGCTTCTAAGAGCTCTTGATTAGCACCCACTACCAAAGCCCATCCATAAATAGCCTAAAAATCTCTGCAACTTGGGTAAAGAATTCTGCCCTGGTCTTTATCATAGACAAAAACAGATGAAGAGTATTCTTTCACTTCACAATGTACTTTCCTCTATTACCCTGAGGTTTTATCTCTTCTGTTTTTTTTTTTTTTTTTTTTTGCTTTTCATTTGGCTTCTCTTATGGATTGAATTGTGGTCCCCAAAAATGTGTGTTAACTTGGCTAGGCCATGAGTGCCAGTATTGTGTGGTTGTCCACCATTCTGTCATCTGATATGATTATCCTGTGTGTTGTAAATCCTAACCTCTATGATGTTCATGAGGTTGGATTAGAGGCAGTTGTGTTAATGAGGCAGGACTCAATCTACAGGATTAGGTTGTATCTTGAGTCAATCTATTTTGAGATATAATACAAAGAATTGAGCAGAGAGGAGGGGGACCTCATGCCACAAAGAAAGAAGAGCCAGGAGCAGAGCGTGTCCTTTGGACCCGGGGTCTCTGCACTGAGAAGCTCCTAAACCAGGGGAAGATTGATGACAAGGGCCTTCCCCAAGAGCTGATAGAGAAAGTCTTCTCCTGGAGCTGACACCCTGAATTCAGACTTTTAGTCTCCTAGACAGTGAGAGAATAAATTTCTGTTTGTTAAAATCCACTTGTGGTATTTCTGTTATAGCACCACTAGACAACTAAGACACCTTCTTATCATTTATTTTCCCCTTCATTCATTAAATCCTGGA